TGGGGGGGGGGGGAACACAACCCTTGAGGGTGAAACAGCAACTCCCTAACTGCTTGCCTCAGTTGCTCACCATAGTTCTCAGTCTAACAGCCTTCCTTCAGAGACAAGCCGTAGTCTGATTTAGACACTCTCATCACTGGCAGAGCAATGGAAAAAGGAGTGGAAAATACTTCTAGCTTATAGTTGCCTCTCCAAACATGGAGTCAGCCAACTAGATTTCTTATCTCAGTCTCTCCCTCTCTATAAGGGGTTTTCTTTCCTTGGACTTCTGGCTGCCAGTTCAAACCTTGCATATCTAAATAAACTACTGACAATCAGGAATTAGCCATATTACAGGCCTTAAAATATTTGTATTTCTTGCCTGCAAAGGGATAATCTAGTCTTACAAATTAGGGCTGAGTTGTAAGATATATAGAAAATGTGGCTCAAGTTCTGTCCCAGATTTTTGTTCCTGTTTTCACACTGCTGACATGCTAGCTAATAGATTCTATGTTTCTCCTCTTAAGCACTGAAATTTACTGCATTTAAAGGAATTTGGGTTTTAAATGAGCTTATAACTAGCTACCAAAACACACACAAGCCATAACCTGTGAGGAAGAATTTTTTGTTTTTTGTTAAAGAATACATGTAGAAGCTTTGAAATAAGAATTTCACTCTTGAAAATGGTTGTCTACAATAATGCAAGTAAAAGCAATGCCAACAAACAGACGGAAACATGTGCAAACAAGTTCTGCACAAGATCCATGTTGTATGTGTCTATGTATTATATGACGAAGTTCTGAGTCCCTTTTAGGCTAGACACTGTTTAAGCTGCACATGTCCAGCAGAACATCCATTTGTACAGCTGATTACAAATTGGATGTTAATGGTTTATCATTAATGCCACATATCTGCCATGTTTCTTTGAAGCCCACCCATTCTGCGTCATACCAGAGAAATTCAGTGTGAAGAGTGCACCACCGCTGGCCTTTAGATGGAGTCCCAGGACCTTCTGCTACTCGGTTCCTTCTGATCTGATCTGCCAACCAATTCCCACTGCCATTGCGCATGACAAATTTGTCTAGAAATACCAGCTGGCTCTCTGGCCCATAGAACCAGTTATAGTTGGAGTCTGCAATTGCCACAGTTCTCTGAAATCCTTGGGAAAAAATTAAAAAGAACATAAGAACAAGCAAATAAATGAACAAAGTAAGGCTGATGAAGCCATGCATTACAAATGGGCTTTCCCTTTTAAAATATTTATAGACATACCCTTGAATGACCCACAGTCAGGTTATACAGTAGCTATTTCCTTGCTGTTTCACCTGCTTTAACTAAGACAGAACAGATGGTACAGAAATGTGAAGATAGGCCCCATCCTCGTCCCTTTTTTCACTTTAATCTCTCGCAAGGCACAATATTCAGATTACAGATTTTGTTTCTCTCATGTCAACTCATGCCCTTTAAAGTAACTACAACTCACAGAAGCTCAAGGTAAAATGAAACTATTCCTGTTATACGCTGAAGCAACTAAAACAAATGTGCTTTTCCCGTCATGTGCTGGTTGTGTATTAGAATACTTTTGATATGCTAACAGCCTAGGCAGTGTTCAAAATACATGGCCAAATCTTCAGCTCATGTAAATCAGTTTAGCTTCACTGACTCTAACAGAACTATGCCTGTATATGACTGTAGAGAACTGATCCATAAAATCCATCCAAGTTAAGATGTTGTATTATTCCCCCCCACAGTTTGAGGTTAGAAATTTGTATTCTAACAAGGTGAATTGATTTGATAAAAAAAAAGGACCAATATAAGGCTTCATTAGAAATTTTAGCCCAACTGGATCAAAAATGTTTTCTGAAGATTGACAAAAGTTTCATTACATATTTTACAATTCATTTTCATATTTATTTTCTGCACTTGGATTCCAGCTGCGACTTCAAAACAAAAGTGTGATTTGCAGCCTGACTATGCATTGACAGAAGTGTTGTGAGCAAGACACAAGAAGTCATTCTTCTGCTATACTGTGTGCTGATTAGGCCTCAGTTGGAGTATTGTGTCCAGTTCTGGGCACCACATTTCATGAAAGATGTGGAGAAACTGCAGAAAGTCCAAAGAGTAACAAAACTGATTGAAGTTCTAGAAAACATGAGCTATGAGGGAAGACTGAAAGAATGGGGTATGTTTAGTTTAGAAAAGAGAAGACTAAATGGGGACATGATAGCAGTTTTCAAGTATCTAAAAGGGCGTTACAAAGAGGAGGGAGAAAAATTGTTCTCCTTGGTCTCTGATGATAGGACAAGAAGCAATGGGCTTAAACTGCAGCAAGAGAGGTTTAGGTTGGACATTAGGAAAAACTTCTTCTGTCAGGGTGGTTAAACACTGGAATAAATTGCCTAGGGAGGTTGTGGAATCTCCATCACTGGAGATATTTAAGAGCAGGCTAGTTAGATATCTACCAGGGATGATCTAGACGTGCTTGGTCCTGCCATGAGGGCAGGGGACTGGATTTCATCACCTCTCAAGGTTCCTATCAGTTCTAGTGTTCTATGATTCTTCCAGTGTTGTAATTGTAGGATTCTTATTCAAAAAGAAGTTGGTTTGTGGGGAAGAGGTTGCAGGGTTATCATAGCAGGGATTGCAGTACTACTACCCTTAATTCTGTGCTGCTGCTTGCAGCAGAACTATCTTGAGAGGTAGGTGGCTGGAGAGCAGTGGTTAATGGCTGAGAGCCTCTAGCAGCAGCATAGTAAAGGATATTATGATATGGTATTATCACCCTTTTTTTTGTACAGAGCTGGGTCTGGCTGCCCAGCTCTGAAGGCAGCAGTGCAAAAATAAGAGTGGCACGGTATGGTATTGACACTAGGGATTTAAAATCCCATTTAATTAGTTAACTGGTTAAATGTTGAGTTCAACTGGTTAACTGATTAAGGTGTGTGTGTGGCGGGGGGCGGGGGGCACTTCAGACTGGCAGCGTCTAGCCCTGCACAGGCTGCCAGCTCCCAGGTCACGTGCGCTGGGAACTGTCAGCCCAGTGTGGGCAGGGGGCTGCTCCCCGGGTACCATTACCCAGGAAGCATCACCCATTACAGTGACTGGGTAACTGGATATCTGTTAACGGCCCTAACAGACACCCTTACTTCTAGACTGCTGCTGGCAGGGTTCCCCCTACAGTGCTGGGTGCCTGGCCAACAACTGCCACTCTCTGGTTGCCCAGCTCTGAAGGCAGCACAAACGTTGGGATGGCAATACTGTGATTCCTGAAAATAACTTTGTGATTCCCTCCTTGTCATTCCTTTTTGGATCAGGACTCCCATTTTCAGAAATGTGGATCTCCCCTGTAAAATATGCATAGTATAAGGTAAAAGCACACGAAAAGTCAGATTTCTCAGTGGAAGACTACTGACTCATGGCTCGTGATGCATTTTTGAAGGCTGTGAATTAGGTATGGCCTTACACGTTACTATATTTCCCAGTTCCCCTTTTAAACCTTTCCTCAGTTGATACTCCCATAGCTATTTTGCAAAATACTTTGTGCGTACTCCATCTTATGTCTCCACACATCCAAATTGTTTACATGCCTTGACTCTTCTGTTCCAACAACATCTAGATGACACTTCCTTTCAACCCATGATGTTAAAATGCTTGTCGATTCCTTGATTCTGTCCTAATTTCATTATTGAAATTTCATTCTCATTTAATCCTTCCATAACTTTCTACTCGCCCTCCATGTGAAACTCAAGCATCTCACTCTCTGTATAGCTCTGTCGTCTTATGTCTGTGCTTAGTCCTCTCTCATTTTGCTCTGCCCATGATACCCATTTCACCTCAATTTTGTATCCTTTTCCCATACCTGCCTTCATGCTCCCCCCCCCCCCCCCACATGCTGCACCTTATTTCTGAAACATTTCTTTTTGCAGTCCACAGGGCTCCAACTCTCCCCATTTAAATCCCTTAAAAACTCTTCATTAAACCTCTCAATGTTATTGCACCTGTGTGAATGATGCTGATCCAGAAATAAAAACTCATTGCTGTGCTCTAAAATAGACTTCCTCGGGGTCATCAAGAATACGTTTTTTTCAACTGGAAACTCCTGAGGGTAGAGACCCTGTCTCCTGAGTTTCATACACTGGTAAACTCAGAACTTAACAGTAACTAAAAGAAAGGCAGCCAGGCCTAGTGCACAGAGCAGACTGGGACTCAGGAGACCTGGGTACTATTTCCAGCTCTGCCACTAGCTTGTGGGGTGACATTGGGCATGTTACTTTGCATTTCTGTCCTCTCTGAAATGGGGTTAATGCAACTGACCTCCCTTTGCACAGCTCTTTTGATAGCTACTAAATTAAACACTTGAAAGTTTTCTTATTATTTATTGAACATAGGCACTGCCCACTGCGCTGTATGAAACAGAAGACATGACCTACCTAAAGGATATTATACGACTCATATTTTGGATGTTACACAGTTACTCTTTTGTTTATCAGTCCTAATTATTTTCTTCTCCTGGTACTTTTCCACAGAAAAATATACTTCTCTTTGGCATCTCTCCTCATTTAACCTTCCCAAAATTTCAGCCAGAAGGGGTAGCTTTCCTTTCCACTACCAAACTCCCATAACAGTTCTATGGTACAACATAAGCTGAAATTAGGTCCTTCACTAGTGCCTACATGGGTATTTTTCTGTCTAACCTTGAGCACTCACATGGGAACAATCCGGTCCATGTCTCCTTGGAGCGCACTGAGAAACCTACCAATAGAGCTAGTTAATATTCTTCACATGAAAATACTTTAGTCAAAATTAATTTTTCTTTAAATGAAACTTCTTGGGGAAAAAATGACATTTTTTTTAGTGTTTGTGAAAATATCTACATTTTTATAAACATTGTAATGCAAACTATCAATTTTTTCCATTAAGAAAATCCCTCAGTTTGGTAAGAGAAAAAGTTCAATAACAATTATGAAAATGATTCCGATAAAAATGTCAAGAAAAAAATATCAAGGCAAATTTCACAAAAACCAGAAAATGGGTCCATTTCAAATCTGAAAGATAGAAACAAATCTGAAATGTTAAACTTTTTCCCAAAATCATGTTCTTATTTTTGACCAATTCTAAGGGCTAAAATGAATAAACAACAGTAGTGGCATTTTCATGCAGGAATATAAATATAGAGAATGCTGCACTGAATGAGCTACATATAATTTTACCTTAACCGTGAAACTTGTTTAGAAATTAACAGGTGTTTCTTAATTGATTTAAGGTACCTACCTGGCAGAACAGTTCTATACATAAATGCAAAGTGCTGTTTAAGCCACGGATGGTTAAAATGGTTGATGTCAAAATGTCTTTGGACAAGAAACATGTACTGAAAGAGAGATCTGGTGGTGTAGCTGCCATAAGCCACTCCTTCATAGAGGGATCCATCTGTAACTTCTCGCAGCAGGACTATAGACTTTTCCATGATTGACAGCACCTGTTTAGTCCACAAGTATGCTTCTTGAAGATAGCCTGAAAGAGAAAGATGTGGTTAAAGCTGACACAGCTTTATACATACTATGCCTTCAGAATATGATTTTTTTTTTTTAAAACGATGGTGTTGCAAAATATGATCTGTACAGTTCTAAAGTTTGGCCTAAGGTCTGCCATTTCCTTACAATTGTAGAGTGACAATAAAACTGTTCATCAGAAATTAAAATCTGCATGCAAGGAATCATAGAATCATAGAATCATAGAATAATAGGACTGGAAGGGACCTCGAGAGGTCATCGAGTCCAGCCCCCCGCCCTCAAGGCAGGACCAAGCTCCGTCTACACCATCCCTGACAGATGTCTATCTAACCTGTTCTTAAATATCTCCAGAGAGGGAGATTCCACCACCTCCCTTGGCAATTTATTCCAATATTTGACCACCCTGACAGTTAGGAATTTTTTCCTAATGTCCAATCTAAACCTCCCCTGCTGCACTTTAAGCCCATTACTCCTTGTCCTGTCCTCAGAAACCAAGAGGAACAAATTTTCGCCTTCCTCCTTGTGACACCCTTTTAGATATTTGAAAAGTTCAGGCTTAATATAGTAAAGAAAATCTGCCTACACCTAATTGCTATTAACCAGGGGAACACAAACAAAGGAAGCACACCTGGTACTTTCAAAGAAGATGTTCCTATTACTTTCATACTCACATAGTGGAATCATCTCTTGCCACATGAGATTATGTATTTGAAATGAAAACAGAATGTTAACAAATCTATTATCTTAACCAGACGGGTCAAATGAAATTATCTGAGCCACTTATTTTTTAGCAATATGGTTGCCACAAGTGAAACATTCACAAAATGCAAACAGAAGGATGGGTGCCAAATAGATGTGAATGCCAATCAACAATCGGAGTATTTAATTAAGAAGTTTAAAGTACAATTAAATGATGTTATAAAGTAAAAGAAGTTCCATACTATCTATATTTTTAGAATACTGTACAACATGTACAAATTTCTTTTCAAGAAAAGATTATCAGAGGTTTCACCATTCTGGTTCCTGTTGGCTTGCTCAGTACAGATACACAACTGGGGAGAAGTTGCAAGCAGTCTCCATAGAGTGCCATTTGCCCATGCGCTAGCCAAAATGTGCCCCCAAGCACAAACATTGAGAGACTAGTAGCGGCAGCGGTAGACTTGCCAAATAGAACAAGGTATGTGGATATGGTCCCCAACTTATTTCTGAATCACCTAGCAGAGATCAGCTGATGCAGGCACCAGCACATATTTGAAGTGGCCCCAGGCCGCACATGAAGGGGCGGGCATCAAGCAGAAGAGGCGGGGCCAAGATACTTCCTAGTTCCCCACCCCCAGACCATGATTGGTCTGTGGGTGAGAGAGTGCTTTTGTACCCACCCCCTATGTTCCTCCCTGGTGCCCTCCCCTGGTGGGAGGAGACTTCCTGCACTCCCCTGCCCCTAGGCCAAATAAAGCCTGGGGGTGGGAGAGCACGTGAAGCCTCCTCCGCTCTGCCCCCACCCTTCAAAGCGCCACAAGCTCCTGGCAAGGTGGGAGGAGGTCTCCTGGGGGTGGGGAAGCAGCAGGGCCTCTGCTGGCTGGATCCAGCCAGTGGAGGCCCTTTTGCCCAACCCTGTATTATACCATGCTAAAAGAGAGAGGTTACTTATCTTGTGCAATAAACGATGTCCTTCGAGATGGGTATTCCTGAGGGTATTCGAGATGGGTATACTGTATATGTCTTGGTGCTCCTGTGCTTATAATCAGAGTTTAGCAGCAGCATTCCCCCCAGGTGCCAGTGTGCACACATGGCACCACAGCTAACATACTGACGTGCGTGCATTGTCAACCCCCCCCCCAGTTCTTTCTTTACCATGAAGAGATGTTACAGCTCCGAAGGAGACGGGAGGAGGGAGGATCATGGAATGCCCACAGAGATACCCATCTCGAAGAACATCAGTTACTTCACAAGGTAAGTAACCTCTCTTTTCTTCTTCGAGGAGTGTCCCTGTGGGTGCTCCACTGTAGGTGACTACAAAGCAATGCCTTGAGCATTTGGAAGGAGGAGATTTGGATCTCACTGGTGGATGGAGGAGAGGATTGCCACACGAAATGTGATACACTATGAAGTGTAAGTGTCTACTGCATAATGTTTTGTAAATGTGTGTGTAGAGACCCATGTTGCAGTCCTACCCCAGCAGCTAGCGGCTGACTAACTGCTGAGCCCCTTGCAGGGCAGGAGGAGACTTTGCATGCTCTCCCCTGCCTCCCAGGCCAATCAGGGCTTGGGGGTGGGGAGAGCACACAAAATCTCCTCCCAACCTGCCAGGAGCGCACAGTGCTTCTAAGAGCAGCGCATTACTTGCTGGGAGGGGGCAGGGCAGGAGGACATTGCTTGTGCTTCCCCCTGCTCCCAGTCCCTGAGGACAGAGCCCCTGCGGGCAAGATCAACTTGCTTGGTGGGCCATATCCAGCCAGTGGAGGCCCTTTTGCCCAACCCTGTATTATACCATGCTAAAAGAGAGAGGTTACTTATCTTGTGCAATAAACGATGTCCTTCGAGATGGGTATTCCTGAGGGTATTCGAGATGGGTATACTGTATATGTCTTGGTGCTCCTGTGCTTATAATCAGAGTTTAGCAGCAGCATTCCCCCCAGGTGCCAGTGTGCACACATGGCACCACAGCTAACATACTGACGTGCGTGCATTGTCAACCCCCCCCCCAGTTCTTTCTTTACCATGAAGAGATGTTACAGCTCCGAAGGAGACGGGAGGAGGGAGGATCATGGAATGCCCACAGAGATACCCATCTCGAAGAACATCAGTTACTTCACAAGGTAAGTAACCTCTCTTTTCTTCTTCGAGGAGTGTCCCTGTGGGTGCTCCACTGTAGGTGACTACAAAGCAATGCCTTGAGCATTTGGAAGGAGGAGATTTGGATCTCACTGGTGGATGGAGGAGAGGATTGCCACACGAAATGTGATACACTATGAAGTGTAAGTGTCTACTGCATAATGTTTTGTAAATGTGTGTGTAGAGACCCATGTTGCAGTCCTACAAATATCCTTGATGGGCACGTTATGGAGGAAGGCCATGGAGGTGGCCACTGCCCTGGTGGAGCGTGCCCGCAACTGAGACAGTAGTGCCACCTCACTGATGTCATAGCAAGCTTTAATGCAATTTGTTATCCATTTTGAAAGCTTCTTTCAAAATTGCATGTGCTTTGGAGCGATCTGCTATGGAAATGAACAGTCTGGAAGAGTGTCTGAAATACTTTGTTCTATCTAGGAAAAAAGCAGTCACCCGCCAAACAGTCGAAGAGTGCAGCCGCACCTCAGTAGCATCAGGATGAGGTTTTTGGTGGAAAACAGGTAAGAATATAGGCTCATTGAGATGGAACTGTGAAACTATCTTTGGGAGAAATTTTGGATGTGGTCTTAGCATGACTTAGTCTTTGTAAAAGATCATAAATGGCAGATCTGCCATGAGTGTGGTTAACTCGCTAAGGGTATGTCTACACTACAGCGCTAGTTCGAACTAACTTAGTTCGAATTAGTTAATTCGAACTAAGCTAATTCGAACTAACGCGTCTAGAACTAAAAACTAGTTCGAATTAGCGTTTTGCTAATTCGAACTAGCAAGTCCACATTGAGTGGACCCTGAACAGGGCTTAAGGATGGCCGGAAGCAGTGCCGGCAGGGCATCAGAGGAGGACTTAGAGCGTGGAGATGCTGTCTCAGGCTAGCCGAGGGCTGCGCTTAAAGGGTCCCGACCCCCACCCCAGACAGACAGTTCTCAGGGGTGCCCCGCTTGCAAAGCAGTCCTGGCTTGGATTGCCCGGGTCCACATTGAGTGGACCCTGAACAGGGCTTAAGGATGGCCGGAAGCAGTGCCGGCAGGGCATCAGAGGAGGACTTAGAGCGTGGAGATGCTGTCTCAGGCTAGCCGAGGGCTGCGCTTAAAGGGTCCCGACCCCCACCCCAGACAGACAGTTCTCAGGGGTGCCCCGCTTGCAAAGCAGTCCTGGCTTGGATTGCCCGGAGTACCCACACTGGGCACATCACACCACTCGGCCATCAGCCCGGCTGCACTTGCCGCAGGCTGCCATCTGGGGAGAGGGGGTAATTGGGGGGCTGCAGGAGACAGAAGCCCGCAGAGCCAGCCCAGTCCTCCCCATCAGGGGCTC